TTTAAGCAAGAGGCACCCAAGGCTTCCTCCATCCACTAAAATCCTTAAAACAAATAAGTGAATGAACAGGGGGATGTTTCAAGTTGTATAACTCAGCACCACCCTCCTGCCAAGCTTATCTTGGTATCTGTGCTCTTGGTGTCCCAAAGGAGAAACAACAGCACAACAGCATTTTGGGGAATCATCACAATTATTGATACACCTTAAAGGTTTCCTTCTCTTCCCAGTAAAATGTTTTCCTCACTGAAACCAGTTGTAAGTTCAGAGGTTGGGGTTTGTCTAATTGTAAATCTGTGGTTTAGATATCACAGAATGTCCTGAGCTGGAAGGGACCCCCAAGGACCATCCAGTCCAACCCCTGGCCCTGCACAGACACCTCAACAATCCCAACCTGTCCCTGAGAGTGTTGTCCAAACCCTCCTGGAGCTCTGGCAGCCTTGGGGCTGTGCCCACTGCCCTGGGGAGCCTGGGCAGTGCCCAACCACCCTCTGGGGGAAGAACCTTTTCCTAATAACACAGTTCCAGGTCTCCTGGCACAGGGATTTGTCCCTCAGCCGAGCTGCAACCTTGGCCATGAATTATAAATATTACTATGATTCATTTCTCCCGAGCCACGGGACACAGCAGGTCTCAGCCATGTCTGCCACTTCCCTGTGGCAGGGAAGGATTTCCAGGCTCCTCTGGAAGCTGCTGTAGCCTGAATTCAGTCCTGCCATCCCTGTTGGCCAGGAATTGTCCTTTGGTCCTTCCATTAACACGTTTGTGTCATGATCCCTTTCAGGGCTACGACGACACGTACGCAGACCAGAGCTACGAGGGCTATGAGGGCTACTACAGCCAGGGCCAAGGGTGAGTTGGCTTCTCTCTTCCTGAGCAAATAATGCATGACCTTTATCCTTTTTTTTTTGGGTCTGAGCTGTAGAGAAGGTGCCCTGTTCTGCTGCAGTCCAGGAGAGCCTGGGAAATGACACGGACAGCGCTGGGCATCTTTGCTTATCCAGCGTTTGTGCAAGTTGTGTCAGTTTGAGAATGTGATTTCACTGGATGTAACCACCTAATTACTCTTCCAGGGACACAGAATACTATGATTATGGACACGGGGAGGCACAGGAAACCTATGAAGCTTATGGTATGTCTGGGAATACTGTTCTTTTCACTGGGAAGGGGCTGCACCTAGTTGGGAGTTGCTTGTGGCCAACCAACAGTTTTCCAGTGTCACTTCAGGGTCTGAACAAAAACTGAGGAGAACCTCAAGTAGTTTTCATGGTAGAACATTTCTATCTAGGTCTGAACAAGCAAAGACATTCTGTGGGTTTAGATCCTTATCAAACTTGATTGTCTCAAAGATGGCACTTTAAAAAAATCCATTTTTTAACTATGGAAATATCTTAATTTCCTTGTAGCTTTAGAATATTTTAAGAGGTCTGGATTTCCACCCACAGCACTACTGCTGCAGTCTGGTCTTCATGGACTGTGTTTTGTATGGCTCCATCTGCTTCCTTATCCTCAAAAACCCGCTACCTGATCCTGACTCTGTGCTATACATTAGCTCGGAAAATGGATTTGTATGTCACATAAAGGCCTCTCTTTGGAGCTCAGTATGACTTGCAAGTAGTTTATGAAGTTTAGTTAATTTGAATTATGTAAAAGTACTGACTTAGGCTGGACTGAACCAAACTGTTGTGGCTTAACCCCAAGGGGCAGCCAGGCCCCACCAGCCACTCACTCACTCCTTGTTCCTGGGATGGGGGAGAGAATTGGGAGGGTAAAAGTGGGAGAACTCATGGGTTGAGATAAAGACAGTTCAATGGGAAAAGCAAAGTAAAACAAGGAATTAGTTCCTTGCTTCCTTGGGAAGACAAACACCATCACTGCAGAATTTCTCCCCTCAGCTGTGGCTGCATTTCTTTTTTAAGCCAGTTCCTATATCCAGGCTTGGAATGGCAGCTGCACGTGGCAATGAGTAAGAAGCATTTTCCTCTCCCTCTAAACAAGCCTCTGCTGCTTTGGGCTGGGGCAGAGTTAATTTTCTTCCCAGTGGCTGCTCTGGGGCTGAGTTTGGGATTTGTGCTGACGATACAGAGATGTTTTGTTGTTGCTGAGCAGAGCTCACACACAGCCGGGGCCTTTCCTGCTCCTTGCACTGCCACTCTGGCATGGGACTGAGGAAACTGGGAGGGCACACAGCCAGGACACTGACCCAGCTGACCAGAGGGATATTCCAGACCACATGATGTCATAAGTTCCCAAAGCTGCACAGCGTAAAGGCCCGGAATTCCATGGGATTGGAAACAGTCCCTTTCCCAGAGCATCAGCTGAGTGAGTGCAGGTAGTGACATTAATGACCAGCTGGAGGGGCTTTCTGGGATCCCTGGGAACTGGGAATCCTCTGTGCCCTGTCATGCCAGTAACAGGGAAGCAGAGTTAATACCCTGCTCCAGCCTCGGGGTGTTCCCTGCTCCAGGTTTAAGCTGTGGGAAGTTCAAACTCAGGTGCCTGAGCAGGGATGTTTTCCAGGCTAGGCTGCATTTGAGCAGACAGCTGCTGCTCCCAGGAACGTTGGCTCTTTCCTGCCTTCAATGCCTGGGTTTGTTGCCTGTGTTTGTCACCCAGCACAAAGAGCCCTTTGTGCCTCCGGCTTGGTGGGAGAGCGGCGGAGTCGGCCGGGATTGGGAGGCCAAAATGCTCATTGTGCACTTGGCATGAAGTTGCCACGGCTAATCTGTTTATCCACAGCAATTTCCTTTGGTCTCTGCTTTCATGAAAACAGAATTAGAGGAATAAATCACTGGGCCAGGCTGGAGACAGTTTGGAGAAAAGGGGAATGTGCTCCGTGGTGGTAGGAACAGGCTCGGCTGTCGTGGGACTCTTGATTTCATAAAGTGGTGACCCCGGAGAGACTGGCAGGAACACGAGGATGGATGTTGCAAGCACAGGCCTCAGTGAGAGCTGGGCTGGGATATTTGGGGCTGGAGCTGCCTCAGGGATCACAGGGATGTGAACTCCATTTGCTTCAGTGGCGGTACATGGAATCCTGGAATGGTTTGGGGCGTGAGGGACCTTAAAGATCATCTCGTTCCAACCCCCGCCACGGGCAGGGACACCTTTCACCTGCCCAGGACCTGCTTTGCCTGGTGTCTGGGAAGGAGGGAAGCAGTTCCTGCAGCTGTCCCTGATGGTCAGACCCTGGGGTTAGGGATGCTGGCAGAACCTCTGGCACAGCTGGTGCCACACTGCCCTGGGGGTTGGCTTTGGCCCTGCTGGAATTAATTACTCCTGAAAGGCACTGGGTTTGTCCAGGTTGGAGCTGCAGGAGATTTTGGGGATCCTGATGAGGAGAGACTGTGGGAGCTGGGCCTGGTTAGTCTGGAGAGGGCAAGGCTGAGAGGGGATCTCATGAATCCCTACAAATATCTCATCAATCCATATAAATGTCCCACCAATCCATACAAATATCTCCAGGGGGTGTCAGAGGATGGTCCCAGGCTCTGTTCAGTGGTGCCCAGTGACAGGACAAGGAGCAATGGCCATAAACTAAAACCCGGCCAAGTTCCACCTCAACCTGAGGCAGAACTCATTTCCATGGAGGTGGCAGAGCCTGGAATAGCTGCCCAGGGAGGGCTTGGAGTGTCTGGAGACATCCCAGACCCACCTGGACACATCCCTGTGTCACCTGCTCTTTCCCACAACGCTGGAAGGTTTAGTGGTGGACGTAGCAGCGCTGGGTTAACTGGGCTCAGTCTTAAAGGGGTTTTGCAGCCTAAATCATCCTGTAAATCCAATATTTTGGGCGTTTTCCAGTCAGGTGCTGGGGTGAAGCACCACCACCACATCCCTGACGTATCCTTGTCTTCTCCACAGGGCAAGATGACTGGAATGGGACCCGGCCCTCCCTGAAGGCCCCGCCGGCCAGGACAGTGAAGGGGGCCTACCGAGACCACCCCTACGGACGCTACTAAAAAAAAAAAACAAAACATGAGGGAAAAATCCCACTTTTGAGCAAAACAGTTGTTACTGATTCTTGTATCTCCCGGGATTCCCGTTGCTTTGCCCACACCAGACAAGTAATTGTCTAACTGTTTTTCTTCGTGGCCCTTTTTCTCCCACTCCATCCTCACCCTGCATTTCGGCTTCTGTACGTAGTACTTTTAAAAGATGAGTTAAATAGATTTTTTTTTTTTAGAGGAAGCGACTTTTAATTTTTATTTTTATTTTTTTTTTCAGTGTGTAGGTGGCTTTTTCTTTCTTTGTCGTTTAGATAAACGCAACTGTACCTTTTTTTAAGGAAAAAAAAAACAAAAACAAAAACAAAAAAACCTACAAAACCACAGTTTAAAAATGTTAGTTTTCCAAAGTGACATGCTTTGCTTAGCAGCTATGAAATTAAGGTTTTGTTTAAAACTTTTTAAAGTTTGTTTTAAAGGAACCCATAAAGGTTGTAGTTGCAGAATCCCAAAGTAGGCTACATTTCAAAATTCAGGGCTATTTTTAAGCATTAAAATCATAATGTAACGGTAGTAGCTGCCACCATTTAAAAAAAGGAAAAAAGTAACTTCAGATGCCAAACCTTCTTTAAAAGGAGATTGCTGGTGAATCTTGGAGTTTAAATTTTAATACGAAGGATCCTCCAACAAATTAAATAGCATTTTTTTTAAAGAGAATTGACCTAAAATTAAAATTAGGTTTGTAAAATTGACTTTTCTTATGTGGATTTTGAAATCTAGCCCCCGTGCAGTGTTGAGATATGCTTGGGAAGCAGATTTTTCCAGTGTAAAGGGGTTCTTAGTTTGGTTCTGGATGAACAATTTTAAGGGAAAAAAAACAAAGCATGGCTCTAATTGCCCAGTGTTTGATAGTAGAAAGCAGAATATTCCATGGGTAGGTCTGAACTCTGTAAAATTCTCATTTTTTTTATAGTGCTTGGGGCAGATAATCCAGTGCAAGTTTAAAACTGACACACCAAAAAAAGAAAAAAAAAGTCAATATTAGCAGTCCCATTGACTTGTTCAAGTGTATCTCAGCACGAGCTTTGCATAAAAAGGGACACTGCAGCTGGGAAAAAAAAACAAAAACCAACAACAAAATGATCAAAAAATTTCACTTTGTACATAAGATAAAGTCCTAATTGGATTTGTACACTGTCCTCCCACTCTGTTCTTGAAGAGAAAATGCTACATGTGTAAGTCTGCCTAACTAGGTAGCTAAAAACGTGTCAAAATGTCTGTCGCGATTTGTCAATAAAGTTTAGTCCTTTTTTAATCAAAGTAAATGTGATGAATTGTCATTTGTTTTGGTTGAGCGATAAAAAAGTAGCGATTTTTATTTTATTTCCGTTTCGTTTGTTTTTAAATAAATTTAAATTAATGCTAAAGCTAATTGTCTTTTTAAAACGATGGAGACGTTCTAAAAAAAAAAAAAAAATGGTGTTTTTTTTTGTATTTCTCACAAAAAAAAAAAAAAAAAATTTACTGAGCTCGTTGAATGAGCTTAAATTTAAAAAAAAAAAAATTATATATTTATATGAAAAAGAAAAATTTGTTTTTCACCCCCTGGAAGTTGTTAAAAACGGTTTGAGCCTGGACTGGGGCAGAAATCTGACTTGGAAAGTGTTTTATGGTTCTTTGCTGAGTTTACTGATTCAGATTTCAAGTGGCCTCGGAGAATATTCCGGGCTGCAGACTCCAGCTTGAGTCTGAAATCCCCGGTTTAAGTAGCCGTGACAAAAGGAATGCTGAAAATTCCAAGGCTTAGCTGCCACCAGGAGGAGAAGGAAGTTGCTTTCTGTAAAACCCACCCCCCTTGGCTAAGATGATGCCCTTCCTACTTCACGGTAGCTTTTACTTGGAAAAACCACTTAAAAAAATGTATTTTTGTTGGAGAACGGTGCTGCAGCTGCTCCTTAAATCCTTCTGAGAGGGTGTGGATGTACAGAGATATATTATATATGTTATATATATTTAAAAGTAAATGCTTCTTAAAGAGACATGAAAAAAAAAATGGTTTGTGTTTCCCATCTCCCAGACGAATTTGGAACTCTTTAAGGGGAGAGAATTAAACTGCTCGGGGGTGAAAAATAAGAATATTAGGGAGCAAAACCGTGGCAGCGCATGAACGAAGGGGAATACTTTAAAAAAAAAAAAAAAAACACAACAAAAAACCACAAAGTTGTATTTGTAGATTGTTATTAAAGTGCAAATAACCGAATTTTCAACACTGGTTTGGAGTCAGCTTTCAGGGCATAATGTGTTGCTTGATGAAAAGATCTGCCCATTGCCCCCCTTTTAAAGGAAAATTATCGCAGGAGAATCAATCAGGATGTGTAAAGCTAACATGCATCGCCCAAAAGGTAACCTAAATGTCTGATTTTAACAGCACATTTTTCTCTTTTCCATAAACCCGTGACGTAAACATTTTTTTATCGAGCCAAGCCTTGAGATGTTTTAATTTTAATGTAAAAAAAAAAAAAAAAAAAAAAAGGCAACTCGCAAAAAAAAAAAAAAAAGGAGAAAAAAAATGTTTAAAATAAAAACGTTTTAAAACAACCCACTTTTTTTTTTTTTTTTCTGCATAAATTAGAGATATAACTTTAACAAACGTGCCCTCGGAGAGAAAAAAAAAATAAATGCACTCCGGTGGAATGTGGGCAAAGAGGAATATTTAAATATCCAAGGATGTAAAATGAAAATGAACCTAGTTAGTTCCTGCTACCGCCAAAAAAAAAACCAAAAACCAAACCCCCAAATTCCACTCAGTTGTTTAAAAATGTAAACTTTTCAGCCTCCCTCCCCCGCCCCAGTATTGCTGTTTCCCTGTGAAACGTCCACAGCTCAGCTGAAGTTGCATGTTTTCCTTCATGTGTAATAATTGCATGTGGGAATCTTTTTTTTTTTTCCCTTTCTTCTTTTTTTTTTTTTTGGTTGTTTTTTTTGAGGGAGGGAGGGTGGGATTTGTGCTTCCATTGAGGAGCCTCACGAAAATTGTCTTTGGTTTACAGGAGCGGAGAGTTCTCGGCGCCGGGAGAGTCGGGGGTGAGGAGGAGCAGGGGCAGCGCCCACGGGGGGTGAGTCTCTCTGTGTGTGTGTGTTTTTACAGCGTGGGGGTGGCACCATCTGAGCTGCTAAAACCACATCCACACAAATAAAAAAGGGAAAGCTGGCTGGCTCTCCCTGCCTGATGCTCTCGCAGAGGTCACAGCGTGGAGGAGGCTCCAGAATTGTACCTGCCTTGAGCTCTCCCCAGAGGGAAAGAGCTTTTCGATGGATTCAGGGAGGGGGGAAATGTGATGAGGTCCATCTCTTGGAGCTGCTTCCTGGTGGTGTTGGATTTCTTGGAATCACGGGCTGGTTTGGGTTGGAAGGGGCCTTAGAGATCATCTGGTTCCCAACGCCCTGGGATTTGTCACCCGATGCTGCAGGAGCAGAGCAGCTGAAGGAATGGCTCGGTGGGAATTCCTGGGGGAGTCCACAAGGCGTTAAAATTACAGACTGCAGATTTTAAACCCAGCCAGACCTTGCCAGTTCTACACCTTCTGGCCCCCATCAGTGGGATCAAATGGGATCCGGCTGCTGGCTGGCCAGTTTTTAAGGATTTCTGTCCACTGGCGTAGCCAGAGATCTCCATCAGTGATCGTGGGACACATCTCTTGGAATCCCAGAATGGTTTTGGTAGGAAGGGACCTTAAAGCCCATCTCATTCCACCCCCTGCCATGGGAAGGGACATCTTCCAATAGACCAGGTTGCTCCAAGCCCCGTCCAACCTGGCCTGGAACATTCCAGGGGTGGAGAATAGGCCATGCTTCTCTAACAAATTGCTTTTATAAATGGATGCAAGTGGTTGCAAACGAGTGGGAGGTGATCACACATCAGTGGAGTGACCTGCTTAGGCAGCAAGGACACATTTCTCCCCCAGGGCAGCATCACAAGGCTTTTGGGAACAGCTAAATGCTTCCTCTCAAACCCTGAGATCGCTGAAAGTCTGAGCTCCATAAATAAAAGAACAAAGAAATAAACTCTTGCAGTGCTGAACAAGCCCAATGGCTTCAAAAGACAACCTGGGCACAGGACATAAAAGGACACAAGTCTAATTTTACATGGAATTGTAAAGCTCCCAAATGAGCTCCTCTTATCTGAGGAGTATTAGGGACGAGGAAGAGGTAATGTGTGGAAATGCTGCAACAGGGAGATTACCCTGAATTCTTCCACTTGAAAATTGGATCCTGCCAGGGGGAACGATAACGTGTCTGGATTTGTGGCCTGGTTATCAAATTCATCTTCATTTACAGTGTAATTGGAACATCAGTTTCTCTGGCCATGCACCAATCTTTCCCGTTTCTTCCTTAATAAGGCACAGCTTTTATATCAAGTGGAAAAGATTTGATAGAGATCATCTATTATGATGCAGTTTTTTTACCTGTAGAAGTGGATCTTGTGATGCTGCCTCTGGAGGGATCCAGCTCGTGCCTTGCCTTTGTTGCATGTTTATGGGGAAGACTTAAATGTTGTGGCAGACTGTAAATATTAATATATTGAGATAACTGTATATGCTACAAGTATTTTGCAAACATGCCCTGGATCAGACGTTCCCTCCCTCTCACAGCACTGCTCCAGTCAGATTTTAGCCTGGAGTCTGCCAGAGCTAATTGGAGATCCCAAAATAACCCTCAGCATAGGATGTGTCTCTCAAAGATGCTCTAATTAGCCAGACATTCCGGGGGTGATGCAGGAATTTGTGAGGGATAGAGATTCCTTTGAGTCTGAGTCACCTAAATAACCTTCCCTGTCCTACTGGCAGGTGGCTGCTGGAGGTGGAATTAGCTGGCTGTGACCTCACAAGTGCCAGGGATCTTTCATCTCCCAGTTTTCCCGAAGGACTAACCCTCACCTTATTATTTGTAGGGTTTTGGTGAAGGCCATAAAGCAGGTAAAGGCCCTGTCGTGCCTGGCTCTGTGCAGGGGGATGTGCAGCAGCTGGGACCTCTCCTCTGGGGAAGCTTTTCCCAACAAAATCCGTTCTTGTTAAGAGATTTTGGCTCCAGGAACACCCTCCTGCTGCAGAACACGCAGCATTCCCACCTTCCCTGCCCCTTTCCCTGCGTGGTCACAGCTTCTCCAGCCTCTTGGGTATAACTACTCAGCCTGGCCGTGCCTGGAGCTGGCACAGACCCAGGTTTTACACCCTCAGGGAGGCTGAGTGCTTTGTGGGATCCTGGACAGCCACGGGAGAGTGAAACCGAGCTGAAATTCCAGAGAAACCCCTGGGGCAGCTTTCCCTGGAAGGAGACTCTCATCCCCTGCCCGTTCCTCACCCCTGGTTTCAAGTTGCTGTTTGGGTTGTTAAATAAAGCAAATGGCTTTGAGCTTTGTTATATGGAAATATAGATTCATGGAATGGTTTGGGTGGGAAGGGACCTTAAAGCCCATCCAGTTCCAGCCTCTGCCATGGGCAGGGACACCTTCCACTGGATCAGATTGCTCCAAGCCCTGTCCAACTTGGCCTTGGACACTTCCAGGATGGGGATTCCACACCCTCTGTGGTATTTTGTGTCTAACTCAGCCTCTCTGAAAGCACAGTGGTTTAAGCCTTTACCTCGATATGTCCCTCCAAAATTCCATCTTGGATAAGCTGGGTTTACGAGCACAGCTGGATTCCCTGTCCAGCACTTGGAGCAGATGATTCTTTTCGTACAGGACGAGCTTTTAAATTTGTATGAGAGCATCTGTCGCGAGCAGAGCCAAGAAAAACAGTTCAAGTGTGCATTTTCCCTTCCTTAACCCATCCTGCTGCTCTCCTGGAGAACACTTGGGCTGAGGGTGATTCCTGCAGCTTGGATGGACCCTCTGAGCGGCCCCAGAGGAGCAGGGACCAGCTGGGATGTGTCTGCTGGGAGCTGCAGAGGAGAACAGGCTTCCCTGGGAACGAGCACATACGGAGCTTTTGGGGAGGAAAATGGGGCTTAGGGAAATTCTTCCTTAATTGATAAACCTGTAACATGTTGGATGGGACACTGGACACGTGTCCCGTTCGTAAGCTGTGAGGGGGAGGGATTCCTGCAGGTTATCCAGGGACTCCCATCCCAGTGGAGATGTCATTCCTCGTTTTCTCCCTGGGAAGCTCCGTTCTGTGAGCACAGAACACAAACCTTTGCTGTTGCTGCTCAGCTGAGCCTTCCACTGCTGCCATATGTTTTAATGGGAATGTTTGTTTCCACGCTCCTTTTGCTCCTTTTGCAAGGAGGGATGAGTCTCCAGGGAGCTGCTTTCAGAGCTGATCAAGGAGCACAGTTAAGACACTTCCCTGGGAAATAGGAACCTGCCAGATCTTGGGGAGTGTTGGAGAACACTGGAGCCTCCCTTGGATCCCACAAGAGCAGCAGCTGTGTGTTGGAACACTGAGATATAAAGTGTTTTCTGCTGAAGCTGTTACTTTTACCACTGAATTTGGAACTAGGTATGACCAAAAAGCTTCAATACATCGTGTTGTATTAGCAAACCTGATATATTTTAACCTGAAAATTTTTTTAACCTGAAAATTTTTTTAACCTGATGTTTGTACATCCTGTTACCTTTATAGTTTTTCCTGGAAGACTCTGTTAAACCACAGATGTCTGGATACTCCTGGGTTTTGATGGCTTTGCACATTTAGGTTGGGAAGGACCTCCAAGACCATCGAGTCCAACCTGTGACCACCTTGTCCCCCAGCCCAGAGTGCCACATCCAGTCATTCCTTGGACACCCCCAGGGATGGGAACTCCACCACCTCCCTGAGCAGCCCCTTCCAAAGCCAGTAAAGAACTAAACCTTGGGCCTGTGGAAGTCCATTAATTTCAGAGATTTTTGCCTCCAGCTGGTTCTCAGTGTTGTAAAACGCTCCATCTGTGCCGAAGCACCAACGCCCACAAGTGGAGGAGATCACTGAGAAAAAAAACGCTGCGAGCGGGTGATAAAGATGCTGAAAAGTGATCAAGGTGAATCACAGCACGAAAATAGCTTGGATGGGAGCCTGGCGAGCTCCTGCACCATTAACTTGGATGGCAGCCTGGCAAGCTCCTCCACCGAGGAGCACTGGGCTTTCTGCTCCAGCTATTCCACGATCCCACAACTCTTGTGTTGGAAGTGATCCCTCATTCCGTGTAATAAAATCCTGACGATGAATATTTTTTGGCTTTCAGCGGTTGTTTCACTGGTTTCGATGGGGTATGTTTGGGGGGGGGTCTGTCCCCTATGGTGGGGGGGAACACACGGGTGGGCGCTGGGACCCTGCGGCGCCCTCGGCCTGGAGGGGGCGTGGCTTTGGGAGTGGCCAAGCGGAATGGGGCGTATCCAAGCACTCAATGGGCGTGGTCAAGCGGGTCGGGGGCGTGGCCAGTGGCGTTCGCGCCCCGGCGAAGCTTGTCCCGCGCCGGCCGCCGTCGCGGCCCGCCCGCCATATTGCGGCCGGCACAGGCGGAGCGGCGGCGGCGATGGGTGAGGGGGGACCGGGGAGGGGGCCCCGGGACCGGGCCGGGAGCGGGCGGGGGGAGCCCCGCCGGCAGCTACGGGGGCGGCCCGTGCGCCGGGCGGGGCGCGGCTCAACCCCGCGGCTCGCCCCGCCCCGGCCGCACCGCGCTCAGGGGGGGCGCGGCCTCGCCTGGAGCCCCTCAGAGCCCCGCAGCAGCCTCGGGGCGTGCTCATGGACCCCTCACCTCCCTCCGCAGTCCTTAATGCAGGTCCTGCAGAGCCTCCCCCGGGCTCCCTGGAGGGTCCCGGTGCTGCCCCAGCCGGACCTCCTGGGCGCTCAGAGCTCCCATCACCCCCTGGCTGCTCCTGTTGCTTCCCCAGAGCCCCCTTGGCCCCCTCAGCTCTTCTTTAGACCCCACTTGAACCCCCACAGTTCCCTCTTACGCTCCCCCAGACCCCCTGTGTTGGCCACTGTTCTCCTGCAGTCCCCACTTGCACCCCCAGATTTTCCCCTGATAGCCCCTATTGCCCCCCCGAGCCCCCAGTGGCCCCCTCAGCTCTTCTACAACCCCCACTTGTGCCCCCACATTCTCTCTTCAGCCCCTGTTGCTCCCCCAGGCCCCCCGTGGCCCCCACTGCTCTTCTTTAGCCCTCCTTGTGCCCCCACATTTTTCCCCTGGAGCCTCTGTGGCTCCTTCCTGCCCTCCTGCAGACCCCGAACCCCCCCTGTCTGTGCCCTCACAGCCTCCACTGCTCCCTCAGAGCTTCCAGGGAGCTCCCAGAGCTCCTGCACCCCCCAAAAAACTGCATCCTGGCGCTTCCCAGGTGTCCCACACTGTCCAGCACCAGGACTCCTGAGCTCAGCTCCAGCTTTAAAACTTCTTTAAGAACAGTCTCTAAACCCTCAGCAAGTGTTTTTTTACTCCAAGTGGTGCAAACTGGAAATTATCCACCACCAGGAAAAGGAATGTTCAGTAACTGGTGTGACCTGAGTTTCCTCACAGCTCAGATTTCACTTGTAAATGGGAGTTTTATCACCTTCTCCTTTCTCTGAAGTTTTAAACCAGGGAAGGTTTAAAAACCTTGGGATTAGTGTTATGGTTTACACTGTGGCAAGCATCCCTGGAAAAGCTAAATTTGGGCTGATGCCCCACTGGCCTCAGTGCCATGCAAACATAAACCAACAAATTCCCTAAAAACGGGTTCTTCTTCCCAGTTCTAAGGAGCCAAAAAGGAAAAAGGCAGTCTGTAATTCCTTGGGGGAAAAAAAAAAGAAAAAGTTGTAATCTTCAGTTTCAGCACAAAATTGGGCATAGAGGACCTGGGTAATATCCTTAATTCCCTGGATCCTTTGGGGGAATTCTTGAGCATCTTTAGGTGTCTCTAATATCCCTAATTCCCTGGATCCTTTGGGAGAATTCTTGAGCATCTCTGGGTGCCCCAATATCCCTAACTCCCTGGATCCTTCAGGGGAATTCCTGAGCATCTCTGGGTGCCTGTGATATCCCTGATTCCCTGGGTCCTTTGGGGGAATTCTTGAGCATCTGTAGATGCCTCTGATATCCCTAATTCCCTGAATTCCTTTTGGGGAATTCTTGAATCTCTGCCCTGCCTCTTGCACAGGGATAACACCACAGGGATGCTGATTAAATTCCTTGTAAACTTGGGTTGGGAGAGAAGCAGGAAGAGCTCCGTGGAAGCCTCCACACACGGACTCTCCATGAATTCCCAGCACCTCAACAAGCCCTCATCCACAGCCTGGGGAAACGCAGGGGGCAAAGAACGGGTCCAGAGAAGAGCAACAAGGCTGGTGAAGGGACTGGAGCATAAGTCCTATGGGGAGAGGCTGAGGGAGCTGGGGCTGTTTAGCCTGGAGAAGAGGAGGCTCAGAGGTGACCTCATCACCCTCTATAACTACCTGAATGGAAGTTCCAGCCAGGTGGGGGTTGGTCTCTTCTCTCAGGCACTCAGCAATAGGACAAGGGGGCACGGGTTTAAGCTCTGCCAGGGGAAATTTAAGTTGGATATCAGGAGAAAATTCTTTACAGAGAGAGTAATCAGGCATTGGAATGGGCTGCCCAGAGAGGTGGTGGATTCACCATCCCTGGAGATTTTTAAACACAGATTGGACGTGGCACTGAGTGCCATGATCTAGTAAATGGACTGGATTTGGACCAAGGGTTGGACTCGATGATCTCGGGGGTCTTTTCCAACCCAATCAATTCTATGATTCTATGAAAAGGGTTTGGAATTGGGTTATCCTGCTGTGGCGGCGACGGATGAGCCCGGAGTGATCAACCATCCCTGATCAATGATCCATCTCTGCTTCCAGTGGTGGGGCCTGGAGCGATCCCGCAGTGAGCAGCTCCCACGGCTCGGGAATGGCCGGGGGCCGGCGGGGTCCCAACAGAACCTCCTACTGCCGGAACCCGCTGTGTGAGCCCGGAGCTGCCGGCGGCTCCGGACACTCCTCGGGCTCCTCCGTCACAGGCGTGCGCTCCCGGACCAGGTACGGACCCCCAGAGCCACAGCCAGCCAGGCTCTGCTCCCCTCTGCAGCCACCTCTGCTCTGGGATGGGTTGGACTGGGAGGGATCTTAAAGCTCGTCCCGTTCCCGGTCCCTGCCACGGCTTCTCTGGGCAACCTGTGCCGGGGCCTCCCCACCCTCACAGGGGAGGAATTTCTTCCCAGTGTCCCATCCTGATCTCCCTTCTTGCAGTCTGAAGCCGTTCGTCCCTCGTCCTGTCGCCTGGGAGGGTCAGGTTGGATAACAGGAAAAAAATCCTTGCAGGAAGGGTGGTCAGGCCTTGGAAGGGGCTGCCCAGGGAAGTGGAGGAGTCCAAACCGTCCCTGGGGGTGTTCAAAACATCCCTGGAGTGTCCAAACCATCCCTGGGGGTGTTCAAACCATCCCTGGAGTGTCCAAACCATCCTTGAGGATGTCCAAATCATCCCTAGGGGTGTGCAAACCATCCCTGGAGTGTCCAAACCATCCTTAGGGGTGTCCAAACCATCCTTAGGGGTGTCCAAACCATCCCTGGGAGTGTCCAAACCATCCCTGGGAGTGTCTAAACCATCCCTTTGGTGTTCAAACCATCCCTGGGAGTGTCCATCCCTGGGGGTGTCTAAACCATCCTTGGGGATGTCCAAACCATCCCTGTGGTGTTCAAATCATCCCTGGGAGTGTTCAAATGAGTGGATGTGGAGCTTTGTGAGAGGGTTTGATGGGCTTGGGGGCACAAGATTGGACTTAACCATCTCGGAGAGCTTTTCCAACCTTAAAGCCCATCCAGTGCCACCCCCTGCCATGGGCAGGGACACCTTCCCCTGTCCCAGGTTGCTCCAACCTGGCCTGGGACACTCCCAGGGATGGGCCAGCCACAGCTTCTCTGGGAAATCCATTCCAGCCCCTCCCCACCCTCACAGGGGGGAATTTCTCCCCACTACCCCATCTAACCCTGCCCTTTGTCAGTAGGAAGCCATTCCCCCTTGTCCTGTCACTCCATACCCTCCTGAAAAGCCCAGATTCCCTGGGGATGAGCTGGGGTGTGGGTTTGTGCATTCCCTGTGATAAGGAGCTGTGTGTGCTCTCCCAGCAAAGCTGGATTGCTCCACCTGTGGCCTTGCAATGACTTGCCTGGATAACTGTATCCCTGTGATTTTCCTGGCCCAGGGCCCTCAGCAGGGAGTGTGTTTAGGCAGATTTAACGTTTTCTTTGCAGGGTTCATAAGGCACCTCCTGCTTATGGAGCTGGGGCTTGGCTGCTCTGGTGGGAGGTGTCCTTTCCCAGGGCAGGGGGTGGGACTGGATGGGTTTTAAGGTCCTTTCCAGCCCAGGCCATTCTGTGATTCCACAGTTTATCCATCCTGAGGAGCTGAATCTCTTTCACCTTGGGAATCTGGTCATTTCAGAGAGACAGCTCAGGTTCCTAAGATTTTCCCCTCATTTTAGGCTGTCAGCCCTGCTGTTTTAAACCCTGGACTGATCCAGCTGCATCCCCCAGGACCAGCAGCCTTCCTGCAGCCACACCTGTGGTTTCATTTTGGGATTTTCAATGGGAGTTTGTGCTCTGCAGTTTCTTTGAAACCCACACCCAGATTCCTTCGCCTGTTGTTATTTAGAGATTGCAAATCAGGAGGGATATATCTGGTGTATCTTAATTCCCCTCGATTAAAGGATCTGTCTGGGATCCTGTGCGTGCTCACACAGGAACACACACCTCTGGCTAAACTTGTTTTTCCTCCTCAGGTGAATAGAAGGTGAAGAATGAACAAGGGCTTGTGTGTAATTGCCCTGTCTTTCATGTTCAAGCACTCTTAGATATGTAAATAGCAACTTGAGGTCTGAAAGGTTCCAATTAATTAAGGGAGTCACTGGTTGTCCCTTGAGTAGCACGGCACAGCCCTGGGTTTGAACCTGGCTCAACACAGGGGATTTAATATCAAGTGACCTGTGGGCTGGCCTGGTTCCAAGTTTTGCTTTCTCTGGGCAAATTCCTGCTCACATCTGCCTGCCAGAGTCATCCTGGGCATCTTTGGGGTGCTGACACTTCTGGTTTGTGGCAGCCACTGATGGTTAGCTGGGGTTTCTCTGTCGGTGTTAGACCGTGTACAGCCTGGGTGGGTGGGCAGGAGGACACTGCCCTCTTCATTCCTGACTCTTGGCTTCCCTTGGCAGGAGTGGCTCAGGTACAGGCCTTTCCAGCCCCCCTTTGGCAGCACAGACAGTGGTCCCCCTGAGGCACTGTAAGATCCCAGAGCTGCCTGTGGAGAGGAGTGTCCTGTTCGAGCTCCAGCTCTTCTTCTGTCACCTCGTCGCTCTCTTTGTCCACTACATCAACATCTACAAGACGGTGTGGTGGTACCCACCCTCCCACCCTCCCTCCCACACATCACTGGTAAGCACCAGAGGACTGATGATACTCCCAGGATGTCTCTGGGGTTGTTAAACATTTCATTTTATGTATATTTATATTTAATGTAAACTACACGTGACTCTGCAACTCTTACTTTGCCAAGATTTGGATACTGCTTGTCATTCTCTCTCCAATCTTGGAAGAGAGTCCAAAGAGAAGAGGATAACTTGGGAGTTTCTCTGTTGAATGTGGGTTTCTGCTGCCTCATGGGAACGAGATCATTTTGGTTTTGTCTCCACAGAACTTTCACCTTATTGACTTCAACGTGCTGACGGTGACAACCATCGTCCTGGCCCGGCGGCTCATCAGTGCTATTGTGAAGGAGGTAAAGTCCCCAGGCAGATCTCAGAGCTGTTCTTTGGGGGGAATTGCAATGCTGTGTGTCCCTTCTGCAGTTCCAAACTCCTCTGTCCTTTCCTAAAGAGCTTTGTGATATGCCCAAGTCAGAATCCCAGGCATTGTTTGGAATGGGAAGAGCAGAGAACAGAACTGAGAGCCCCAAACCACCTCTCCTGACTCTGTCCTTCTGGGATTGTCTCTGAATTACTGTCTCAACTAGACTTGTAGTGATTCTGCTTCCCTCCTGCTATTTGGCTCTTTTCCTGTTCTCTCCATCACTCCACCTTTCCCCAGGGAAAGTCAGTGGGTGTCTGCTCACCGTGGAAATGTCCTGTGGTGAGCAGGGCCAGGAGAGTGGGCTGGTCACACTTTAACTGCCAGAGTTTAACAAGGAACTCAGAGCTCTCCTCCCTCCAGCCCAAGGAATGAGGCCCAGATTCCAGAGGTTTTGGACAGTCGAGATTCCACAGAAGGCCTCCCCGTCCTGGCGTCACTCAGCCTTTCCCACTTGATTCACGGATTGAGTTTTGCTCCCTGCAGGAGGAGGGAATGAGCCTCCCCTGTGCCCAGCTCTCTCCTCTCTCCCACAGGCTTCCCAGAGTGGCAAAGTGTCCCTGCCCCGCTCCGTGTTCCTGGTGGTCACTCGGTTTGCCGTCCTCACCGGCACGGGCTGGAGCCTGTGCAGATCCATCATCCACCTCTTCAGAACCTACTCCTTCCTCAACCTCCTGTTCCTGTGCTACCCGTGAGTATCCCTGTGTCAGGGTGGGGGATCCCTCATGGGCACTGCAGGGGGTGTTGAGGTGAAGCCTCAGGAAGTGCTCAGTTACCTGGTCACAGAGTTTATACCTTTTCCCTTTTGCTGTGTCACATTCCGTGCTGGCAGGGCAGGTCTTTGACATCTGCCTGTGTTGAGCACCAATTGCTCTTATCCTCTGAGAAGGGAGTGTGTGCTTTTCCCATAGTATTCAAAAAACTCTTGGCTTCAGTTTCCCTTGGCTCCAGGTGGAGGGAATCAAACAGCTTCCCTGATTCATGTTAACTAATAAAAGGGAGCTGGTTTTGCTTCCAGTCGTGTATGGAAATAGCTCCTTTCTCCCTGATAAATGAAGGAGGAAGCATCCATAAAGATCTGAGACTTGAGATCAGTGGTGAAGCTCTTTTCAGGAGTTTCTATAGGTATTAGAGGCCATTTAGAATCACAGGATCATGTAATGGTTTGGGTTGGAAGGGACATTAAAGATCATCCCGTTCCACCCCCTGCCACAGGCAGGGACACCTCCCAGTAGCCCACGTTGCTCCAGCCTGGCCTTGGACACTTGCAGGCATGGAGCAGCCACAGGGAACCTCCTCCTGGCTTTGGGAAGGGGCTGTGCTGCAGCAAACCCTCAGGAGTAACAGCCCTTCCCCCCGTGCTGCTCCAGGTTCGGGATGTACATCCCCTTCCTCCAGCTGAACTGTGACCTGCGCAAGGCGGGGCTGTTTGCCCAGGTGGCCAACATCGGCCCCAGGGACACGGGCGAGGTGGGGGCCCGGGGCAGGGACTACCTGACGGTGCTCAAGGAGACGTGGAAGCAGCACACGCGGCAGATGTACGGCATGGAGGCCATGCCCACCCACGCCTGCTGCCTCTCCCCGGACCTCATCCGCAACGAGGTGGAGTACCTCAAAATGGACTTCAACTGGCGCATGAAGGAGGTGCTGGTGAGCTCCATGCTCAGTGCCTACTACGTGGCCTTCGTGCCCGTCTGGTTTGTGAAGGTGAGAGAGGGCTGGGGCTGGCTGGGAGGTGGGCACTGGGCCGTGGTGGCAGAGTGGAGGGGGACATTGTTGAATCCCTAAGATGTGGTTACTAATATTACATTCCTAATCTGTGAATGAGACAAATGTCTCATCATAAGTCATCCCCCAGGGAGATCTGTCCCCTAGTGCTCCCACCCGCCATCAGCTGAGCCTGTGGAGCATCAGGAGCCATCCCCCTGTTTTTGGTGCTGGCACAGCAGTCCTACATCAGCCATCCTATGTGGGCGCTTCTTTCCAAGCGGGATTAACAGCTGCATGCAGCTGCCTCCTTCTACCTGCCTGAGTGCTTTGTGTTCTGATGGCTCTGGCAGGTGGGGCTGTGCAGACACGTTGTCACACCAGTGCCCAAACGTGCCACACGTTCCTGTCCCCCCACAGAACACTCAGTACTACGACAAACGCTGGTCCTGTGAGCTCTTCCTGCTGGTTTCCATCAGCACCTCCGTGATCCTGATGCAGTACCTGCTCCCTGCCCGCTACTGTGACCTGCTCCACAAGGCTGCAGCACACCTGGGCTGCTGGCAGAAGGTGGATCCAGCCCTCTGCTCCAACGTGCTGCAGCATCAGTAAGGAATTCTGTCCTGGGGTTAGGGCTGGGTTTTCCCTGAGAGGGCTGGACGGGGAGCTCAGCCTTAAAATAAAAAACGAGGGAGAAAACTGAGAGCGGAGTTGTGGGCTGACACCTCCAGCAGCACAGACACTCTGTGCACTGCCCGCTGCCAAGCTCAGCCAGCGAGAGCTGATTTTTGGCAAAGTTCCTGCTGCTCCTGGCCACGGGTACCTGCCAGTTGTCACCGCCGTGGTGACACACCCGGACGGGCCAACCCGCCCCTGCTCCCCGTGGGCAGGGGGAAGGCAGCAGCCCCTGTTCCCACGTGCAGGCAGCACTGAGGGCTCCCTGTTCCCTGCAGGTGGACTGAGGAGTGCATGTGGCCGCAGGGGGTGTTGGTGAAGCACAGCAAGAACGTGTACAAGGCCGTGGGGCACTACAACGTGGCCGTGCCCTCTGACGTCTCGCACTTCAGGTTCCACGTAAGGTCACGTCTCCTTCCTGGGAAATGGAGGGGTAGCACCCGGGCAGGGCCATGGTCCTCGTGTCCTGGACACCTGGGGCTGCCAGAGGGTGGCTTTCCAAGTGCCCAGGGTGGGAAGTTACTTATCCCTGTGGATAATCCCAGAGGAATCCCACCCAAAACCCACCCCGGAGGTTCCGCCTCTCGCTCGGTTGCCTCACTGTGTTCTCCCACAGTTCTTTTTCAGCAAACCACTGAGGATCCTCAACATCCTGATCCTGCTGGAAGGGGCAGTCATCTTCTACCAGCTTTACTCGCTGATTTCTTCGGAGAAGTGGCACCAGACCATCTCCCTGGCTCTGATCCTCTTCAGCAATTACTACGCCTTCTTCAAGCTGCTGCGTGACCGTCTGGTGCTGGGCAAAGCCTACTCATATGCTGCCAGCAGGGACTCAGAGCAGAAGTTAAATTAAAACAATTGCACTGATGCTGAGCTTGTTACAGAACAAACAAAACAAGAAACCCTCAGAGCTTTGTATTTTTGTTACCACTGCTTTTTTTTTTTCTTTGATAACTGATGTAATTAAAAGGAAAAAAAAAAACATATTTTTTTACTCCCAACAAGTTGTTTGTGCGTTTGTTGTTCGGTTAAATGATCCCTCCCACGCGGCACACGCCCCTCTCGGAGAAGGGCGCGGGGCGGGGTGGGACCCCCGGGCCGGGGGAGGAGGAGGAGGAGCGGGAGGACGGGGAGGGAGAGGGAGAGGAGGAAGGGGCGCAGCTCGTTCCCCGGGTGTCCCAGGCCCGGGGGCACGGGCCGTGCCCTCCCCAATGGGGGGTTCCGGGCTCCCTCCCGCCCGTGGGGGGGTCCCGGGAGATCCCGGGGGGGTCCCGGCTCCGGCCTTTGTTCCAGCGGGGCCCCGCCGCCGCCAGGGGGCGCTCGGGGCGCGCGCTCCCGATCCCGATCCCGATCCCGATCCTGATCCTGATCCCGATCCCGATCCTGATCCCGGTGCCGATCTCGGTCCCGATCCCGCTCCCAACCTCGGTCCCGGTACCGCTTCCCATCCCAATATCTCTCCCGATCCCAATATCCTCCCCGATCCTGATCCCGGTCCCGGTCCTGATCCCGGTCCCGGTGCCGATCCCGGTCCTGATCCCCGTCTCAATCTCGGTCCCTCTCCCGGTCCACCCCCGCCGCCCCCGGGGCGATTATTGCGACTGAAAGCGGAGATCGAGCCCCGGAGCGGGTCGCGGGGAACCGGGAGCGGCATCGGGAGCAGGACAAGGACCGGGAGCGGCGGCAGCATCGCCCGGGGCACCGGCGGGGCGGATTCGGTGCCCGGCAGAGCCCCGAGGGGCGGCGGGGACACTGCGGGGACACGGGGGGGCAAAGGGCACCCTTTGGGGGGGCCGCCGCCGGGGGGGGGGGGGGGGGAGGGGGGGGGGGCGGGGGAAACCCGGGGGGGGGGGGGGGGGGGGGGAGCCGGATGCGACCGAGCCCCCCGGGACTGTGCCCTTCCTCCCTCCCAGCCCACACCGGGACCCGCACGGATCCGGGATCCCCCCACGCCCGCGGACACCGAGGGGCTTCGCTGCCTGGGGCGGCTGCGGGAGCCCCCCGACCCCCCGGAAGGTCCCCTGGGGTCGGGGGGCACAGAGAGGCCCCCCCAGCCTGTCCCTGGCTCCCGTGTGACCCCACCAGGACCGAATCCAGTCTCCGGACGGGGTTTCCATAGGGATGGGGTGGGGGGGTGATGATGTCGGGGCGCCAAGGGCGGGTGTGCCGGTGCCCCGGCCCCCTCCTCAGCACGGCGGGAGGAAACGGCCGTGTCCAGCCTTTCCCGAGGATGAGGATTTCCTTCCTCCCATTGAGCAGGGACCCTGGGGTTAGCACGCAGCCGTGGGGCGCTCGGCCACAGGATGGGGGCGTTTGGCTGGGAATTGGGGGGCAGAGACCCATCCCCCCGGCACACAACCCTGGGAGCAGCTCCCTCAGGACCTCCTGTTCCTCCCCCTGCCCGGCCAGGACCCCAGGGATGAAGGAGATGGATTTGGGTGAGCACAGGATGGAGACGTGCAGCCATTTCCTTCTCCCCTTCCCTTTTTCCCAGCCTGAGTGCACTGCGGATATTCTGGGGGCAAGAAGAATCTGAACACAGAGATTACTGGCTTCCCAGAAATGCTCTTCCTGCAGCTGGGAAAGGCTGTCACTGGGAGCAGTGACACACGTCTCATTTCCCTTGAACGGGGGCTTTCCCAGGGCCTCTGGAGGGGATGAGGCCCCAGGGGAGATCCCGGGTGGGAATTCCCCTGGGCTCTCCACTGAGGTGGCTCCACTGGGGACCCAGCTGCCTTGGTGACCCTGGGGGTCCCGGACAACCCAAACAGTGTTGGCCCATGGGCTGCACCCCGGGGGTCCCGGCCTGGCCGGGCTCCATCTGCCGCCCTCCCCACGCCCTCTAATCCCGGGATTAGCAGCCAGATGCCAGGCCAGGTTTGCTGCAGGTAACGAGGATCCCCCGGGAGGAGGTGATGGACATCAAAGTGCAGGCAATTATGGATAATCCCACCCGAGTGTCCCCCCAGCCGGGCAGGCATCGCGGTGTGGGCCCCGAGCCAGGAGGGACAGGGAGCCCTGTGTCTGCTGGGGACACGTCCCAGGGTGCCCCCAGGAGTGGGACCCCAGGACAACGGCTGTGCTGGAGCAAAAATCCAGGCAGAAATGCCCTCCATGGTTTTGGCACTGCTGGGGATGTGGCTGAGCCCTCCCTATTCACACCCGAAATGGGAATATGCTTCAGCCTCCTACAGCCCACTGGGAATCCCCTCACTGCTTCCCACTGCTTCCCAGTGGATGCAGCTGATGGGAAGTGGCTGTTTTCCCCGCAAAGCCCATCCCAGCATTCCTGAGAGGCCACGTCTCCCACCCTATCCCTGTTCCTGGGACCTGCAGTCAGTCAGCTCGTGGCTGCTCCCACCCCAGCTCGGCACAGATGGAGGATGGACACTGTCCATTGCTGGGTCCCGGATTTCTGGGTGATCCTGCAGCTCAACCCCCTCACCAGGGACCTGACAGACACTTCCCAGCATCTCCTCATCCCCCCAGAAATCCCAGAGCCCGTCCCTGGCTGGTTCACAGCCAAATCCAGCATCCAGCAGCAGCTGAGGTGGGAATTGGGATGGGAGAGGGTGGGACAGGAGCACCCCACCAAGCCAAAGGTGGTCCCACCTGGGCTGTGCCATCCTGTATCCGGAGACTGATAGCTTTAATTCTTCCTTGATAAATATTTTTGACATTAACAAAGCCAAATCCCAAAAGTGGTTAATCAAGGATTTGTTTGCCCACCGTCACCTCACACCGTGGCAGGCTGTGAGTGAGATCAAGAGGGGAAGAACATCAGAGGGGTGGTGGGAGCTGCTTCTCTGTGCCCATCCCACCAGCATCCCTGCTCCCCCAGGGTTGGGAGCTGGGGACCCCCGAGTGGGACCCCAGACCCTGCTCTCCTCCAGACCCAGAGCTGTGGGGTCTCCATGGGGGCACCCAAACCCAGGAGATGAGCCAAGCTGAGCCTAGATGAGCTGAGCTGAGCCAAGCCGAGCTGGCCACCACTGCCTGACCTTGCCCGGGGCTCACCTGGCCAAAACCGGGGCAGGACACGGCCCACGAGGCCCCGTCCTGCCATAATTGGGAGCCCTGATTAGCATATGCGCATCCTCATTAGCAATTACACACATGCCCTCATTTCCTCCTCCAAACAAGTCCACGATGGGGACCCGGGAGCTGGAGCAAACACGGGGCGTTGGGTCGGACCCTGAGCCACCCCCCCACCCTCCGCTATGGCCTGAGACCACCAAACTCATTGCACTTGTGCCCGGGAGCAGAGGCACCACCCCCAGCATCCCGGGCCCCGCCGCGGCGCCGGGAGCGGCTCCCGCGGGGAGCAGATGGTGACTCCGAGTGCGGGGGCCAGATGGACCCTCCCGCCGTCCCCCCTCCGCTTCCGCTGCCATTTTACCCGGCAGCTCCAGCCGCCGCTATAAATATTTAACAGCTCCATCCCCTGCTCCGCCGCCGAGCGCGGAGCAGCTCCCAGCGCTCCACCCCTGCACTGGGAGGCACTGGGATGAGACCCCCGGCATGGTGGGCACAGCGGGGGCGCGGCCCCTCCAGCGGCATCGCTCCGGGCCTGAGCTAAATATTCCCAGTGATCTGGGCTGGGGATGCTCGAGGACTCAGAGATGCTGAATGGAGACCTTGGGGAGTGTTGGGATGTTTCCCAAGAGCTGGGACGAGGGGAGAGCTTGGGAAGGTCACCCACCTCCCAGGTGGGTGTCAGGCTGGGTGCTGTGTAGGCTGAGCTCCCCAAAGCCTCACGGAGCTCCAAAGGAACGTAAGTCCCCCTCCAAACCCACCCCTACACCCCTGGGGGTCCTGGATCCTCGGTCAGACCCCCTCCAGGAGCTCTGTGAGTGGCAGCACCGCCTCTGCCACCAGCAGAAGGGGGTCCTGCCCCCCGAGTTTGGGATCTCCCACCCTGCAGCACGAGGCTGCGAGTCCCGACGTGCAGCTGCTGCAGGACAGGCCGGGACCTGCAGCCCCTGGGGCGTCGAGAGGCGTTCGCAGCCCGCGGCTCTCCCGGGAACCGCCGAGTTTCGGTCCCACCGCGGGCACGGCCGGGCCCCGTTTCGCTGCCCCCACACGTGCACCGGGGCAGCCCCTGGCCGGGGCCAGGCTTCCTCCCTCGAGCCTTCCCGCCGCTCTTCCGCCGGCCCCGGGGCCGGGGCTGCCTTCCTGCCCCGCTGCCGTCCCGCTTCCTGCCCCGCGGCGCTGCCTCCTCCGCACGGAGCGTTCCCGGCTGTGCCAGCACCATCCATCTGCTTTCCTGAGCCTCGGACGGGGTGACCTGGCCTTGGCGTGGTGTCCCCAAGACCCTGCGCCTTCCTCGTGGCTCCGATGCCCAGGATCCATGTGGGACCCGGTCCTGGCGCTGCTGTCGGGGAATTCCAGGGGGTCCCTGTTCCACCAGCCCTTCCCTTCCAGCCCAGCGATAACGGCATCGAGCGGAGCGAACCTCCCGCCGGGCTCGCCCCAGGGAGTGGCAATTCCCTGATTCCAATCACTTTTGGGGATCTACCGCTGACCTAGTTTATAATCCAGCGCTCAGGGCGGCAGGGATCGCACGCAGGGCACCGGGAATGAGCGGGAGCTTTCCGGGAGCACCCACACCCCCCAGGGCAAAGCCCCTCCCCGGGTTTTTGGGGAGCTGAGGGTCCCGCGGGCGGCTCGGCGGGGCTGGTCCCGGCTCTGTGCCGTGCTGAGGTCAGGACATTCCCACGCTGAGCCCAAGGGTGTCCCCCAAACCGGTCGGACGTGCCGTGACTCAGCCCCGGGTGCCAGCAGGCAGCGGCAGGATGGGGCCTGCGCGGGGCCTCCGCTTCCCAGGCAGCCCTGAGCAAACAGGGAAGTGAAAAATTTCCTTTTCCTTCCTCCTGCGGAGCTGGGTGTCACCGCGCTGGGGTGACCTACCCCTGCACCCCGCTCCCTAAAGCAACCCCCCATCCCTCCCCCTCTCCCAGCGAGGACTGGGAAGGGCTCCTTATCTCCCTTCCCGGCTGATGCA